AAGTATTAGTGTTAATGACTTTTCATGACTCTGCCAAACAGATTAAAGAAAGCTACTGTAGTTCAGTATTGTTTCATTTTATTTAAAATTGTGTTAAAGTTACTGAAACTGGAAATGATTTTCTGATTTCTTTCAAAAGTCACTTTCAAGGTTTTCTGCATTATCTACAGTGAACTCAAAACAGACAAACTTTTGCCACTTAGTTGCATCTTGACATTTAATTGCATTTTCTTTAAAAATGGTGCAGCATATGTGTACATTTGTTGCTACCTATTTTACTTTCTCTTTATTCTCCTATCAGCATGCGGGATGCAAACAAAAAGTAATATATTCATAAATATTGTTGGACTTTTTCCATGATTTTTTGTGCGTGTGGGCTTTAATGTTTTATATGGTGATTCTTACTAGGGGATATAATTTTGATAGGTAAGAAAAATACATCCTCTTCTTTTTTTTCTCCACTTGTACACAGGGCATAATGCAGGATGTACAGTTACTTGTCATGCCTCAAGGATTTATTTCTCAATGCCCAGATCTTAATCGCAGTAAGTGTCTTTGTTCTTGTGCCAACACATGAAGTTGTACTTTTTACTTTTTTGTTTAATTTCTGTCTTGCAAACTATGTTGTAAAACCTTTTGCTCCTTTGTATCAGTTGTCAGGTGTGGAATGTACAAATAGAAAGTATTGTAAATACACCTTGACAAATATGTATTTGTAATTGCAGCATGTCCAACATGCAATGACTTTCATGGACTTGTGCAGAAAATTATGGAACTGCAGGACATTTTAGCAAAAACATCAGCTAAGGTGAGGTGTAGGGGCAGATGTGGGGTAAGATCTGTTATTATAATTCATAAGAATGTGTGTATAAAAATGAGATGTGTGTATGTTTATATTTATATATTTATCCATTTTATGTGTATATAGCTGGCTGTCTAGGTACACAGACTTTCAGTCCTTATCTGCAATGTTTGCATTGACTATTACATTTTAATAGTAAACAGAATCAAAATCCTGAAACAAGGAAAGGGCTCATAAATATTCAAGCTTTATCTATCAGGCTAACGATTCAATAAAACTAGGATGAAACAGGTTACCCTGTTTACAGTGCTTATTGCAGTAGAATTTATTGGTTCGTGACTTTTTTAAAATTGTGCTATCCAAAGAGCATTCAAACAAAAAACAAAACAAAACGCAAGCTTGGGGGTTGAGTACCCAAAGCAGTACCTACTGCTGTCAGATGATCATTTAAAAATATTAATGACTCCCTGTGAACAGGCGCGTGTGCACGCACGCACGCACGCACTTTCTCTCTCCGATTCAAGAGCAGGGCAGGAAAAATTATACATGTAAAATGTTAACATTCTATATAATTTTCTCATTACACCTTAATTGCTAATTGTTTGATTATTTACAAATAGGCAGATCAGGCAATATAAAGATGACAGGCAGGGGGCCATGTCCATCTTACTCTTTATAGTTTTGTGATATTATTTTTGTGTGAGCAAAGTGGGCAGCATTGTGTCCAGCTTCATATTTTTTCTTTTCCGAATGGCTGAACAAGTTTAACATTTCATATTTAACCCTCTTTGTAGCAGGTTCATGGTTGTGATGCCCCCTGGTGGCTATGCATTCCCTGTCTGGCTCAGGCTCTAATGTAGCCCTTCCTTGTTCACTCACCTGCCATGCCTTGTTCTTGTTAGAGGGGGTGTAAGGGAGGCTGTTAGAGAGAGCCTGAGTCCATGCAAATCACTACTGGGCCCCTCCCAAACTCCCTTCACTTCAGCTTGGCCCTTGAGCCTATGAGGCCCTTTTTGTCTCGCCTGTACCCCTGCGGGGCTCCTGTAGCATTAAAGGCAGATTGTATGGCTCTATTCCCCTATACCACGTCCCAAGCCTGGCAGGTGTTACCATACTGTTATTCACTCTGTAGGGCTCTTGTTGGGTCCTTTAGCTTAGACCTATGATACAGGACTTGGCTTCTAGGCTCCAGCCTCCCTGCCCGTGGGTTCCTGACCCTCTAAGTCTCTGCTGGTGGTCCTTGTCAGACTTTTGGCCCCTCCTGGGCCCTGACTCTGACCCTGGGTCAATTGGGACCACCCAACTTCCCTAGCCCTGGCAGTCTACATCTAAAACCCCTCTTGCACCACCAGCTCTTTGAGTAGTCCTGGAGCCTGTCTCAGCAGGACTCAGGACTAAACCAAAAGTGTAATTTTAAACAAAATACCTATGCCCTCTGGCAGTTGCCTAAACTCTTTCTGGGCTTACTGTACAATAGAGAGCCCCTACCTGCACAAGCTGGCCTTTCTTTGTGCCCCAGGCAGCTTTCTCCTGTTCCCAGACCTGCAGAGTCACTTACCCAGTTTCATTGTGACTTCAGGAGCCCTACTGCACTGCTGCCAGGCGCTCCTCTTTTCCTGGCTCCCAGGCCTGGACTTTCTGATCGTAGAAGCCTTGGGCTTATATAGCTCCAGCCTGGTCCTCTGCTGGTCAGGTGACTCTCCAAGTACCCCACCTTGCCACCTGAAAGCAGCGTCTCAAGCTGCTTGCCCTCTTAAAGGAGCAGGTGCACCCGGCCAGCCTGCTACAGTCATCTACCCATTTTCATATATACTTTTTCATTTTGCATTTTTTGATGGTAGAGGGTAGTTTATTATTTTAATAGCAATATGGAAATCATATTTATTTAATTACTGACCTACTTTTTATGAAACGTGTATGCAGTTGTCCCGAGCTGAGCAGAGGATGAATAAGTTGGATCAGTGCTATTGTGAAAGGACATGCACTGTGAAGGGCAACATCTACAGGGAATTTGAATCCTGGACAGATGGCTGTAAGAACTGCACTTGCATGGTATGGCTACAATTTGAATAGAAGCTTGGGGACCCTTGTGTCTTTTGTGCCCAGTTTTATTGAGACAATATAATGATGAAACTTCTGGAGTTTCCTCAAGGTGGTCCCAGAAAACTTGTTTTGAATCTAAAGTACTGTACAGTCTAATAATAAAAATGTTTCACATTTGTTTCAGTAGTCCTAGCGTATGTATTTCTTCTAGATTTTTCCTGCAAGCTTAGGGAAATGCTAAGCAATATACTTAACTATCCCATGGTCTTTCCTTATACTGTGTTATAACCAGTTTCCCTGGATAATTAATTCTCTGGTTCTTTTATCCACTATACACATACCTTTTTTCTTAGCAGATGATTTAATGGATCCCTGGTGTTTAATTCCATTTAGCTTCTTTTGGTTACATCTTAACATGCAATAAAATGTAAAGGCTCTATGCATGTTCTGTTATATCACAAGTGAAAAGGATTTGTTTTAAACTGGGTGGAAGACTCCTTCAGGAGCATTCCAGAATTAATTGCACATATCTTAGCTAGTACCAAACAATGATGTCTTGATTAGGGCACATCCACTTTAAACTTATTAGATTTATTTGGAGTCATTAAATACCAAATTCAAAGTCCATTAGAAATTGGTGGAAGGGCTCTAATTTACTCAAATAGAAGATGACTGTGAGTATAAAATGACACCCCAATAATTAGATTCTATATGTGGAGAATTTTATAAATTTAATATAATTTTCCAGGTATAGAACCTAATTATATTGGAGGTTTGCCTTGAATTTGTCCCCTTCCCACTGCTGCAGTAGGGAAAACAAATCTGGGGGTAAGGTAGACCCTTTGCCCTCTATCCACCCCTCAACTTCTTCCTTCTGCAGCCCACCCACCCCCTTCCCTCCCCTTTACTGTCAGACTCTGCTTTCCCTGAGCACATGGACGGGAGGAACAAATTTGAAAAAACTGACCTTGATATATAAACATAGTTGTAGCAATTTAGATATGGTACCCATAGACTTAGATCACTTAGAAATGATACATTATTACCTTTGATGAAACTGCTGCAAGTTTTAGCATAGGTACTCCATAAGCATACTTTTAAGTAGTGCTTTAGCCTCTACTTAGAGTACAAACTATACATGATATTAGTCCAAAGCGAAAAGACTCATGATTTACCATACAGTTTGTTGGCCTGGTCACCACCAGAGTCATTACTGAGCATTGCTGCTTTTAACGGCAGTTCAAAGATAGGCAATGTATTTAATACAGCTTCCTTGTATGTGAATGTAAGATGATGGGCTTTTTCCCAGATGCCAATTGTGAGGGGGGAAACCTCATCTTTTATTCAAGCAAAAATGCTACTACACTGCACTTTGGATTAAGTCCTGAAGCCCTTAATATATATGGTGTAGCCCTTAACATGCTGAACTATTTTTCTTGTATGACAGGTGTCTTTCTGGGCTCTGTCCACATTGCTGCATCTGGGCACGGTGCCAAATAGCACAACTTTCCATGCCCACTTGCTTCTGCTTTGTTTGTGCCAACTCTTGAAAATGAGTCAGTGTCATTTTCGTAGAGTAGTGCTGAGCCTGTGCCAATAAGCATGCTCAAGACAGAGCCTAAGAGTGGCATGAAGCATGTGTTCAATGCTTCTGTTAGGTTAGAGAAGCCTCATTTTTCAGGAGTTGGAATACATGGAGGAGGGGATAGTGTTTGGGGCATCTTTCACAGCAGCGTTCCTAGATGTAGCATGGAAGTGGCAGAGTTATGCCCCAGTTCTACAGATTTCTTGGGGGAGAATTTACTGATTTTAGTTTTTAGAAGGTTTTTGATGCTAGGAGCTTTAAACAGAAGATACTACTAGCATTCAACCAAATCTGAAAGAGAGGGTAAAATGCCTGTAATTGAAATAGAGTTAAATATATTATATGTTTTTGTCAGATTTTTCTTACGGCTATGATATTATCTTTTCAAAAATACATTCAGTCTTTCATGTGAAATTCAGAAGGAAGAGTATTGTTCTAAGAAGCTTTTATATTTCACACTAATCTGCCCATTTTGCTGATGATTGGCAGAATGTTTAAACTCCAAATGATTTAAGTTTTTTTTTTACAAGGAAAGCTATTACCATCTTAAAGAGGCCCATATGCCTATATAAAAAGCCTGTTTGGGGTGATGTTTCATAAAAGTAAATGGTTCTTTCCTTTATTGGGGCCATCCTGGGGGGGCAACTCAGGGTGACTGCCCCAGTCCCTGTGTTTTGGAGGGCCCTACAATCAGTCCCGCATAGGCCCCACCACCAACCCCCCCTCCCCCCGCTGCTCTGCCAGCTTTGG